AAAATTGACAAATTAACGAGTAATAAAAGACACCAGGACCAGATGATGTTTACCCAGGAGTTCTGAAGAGTTCTCAAGTATCTAAAAGGGTGTAACAAGAAGGCATGAGAAAAATTGTTCTCCTTAACCTCTGAGGATAGGACAAGAAGCAATGGGCTTAAATTTCAGCCAGGGAGGTTTAGGTTGGACACTAGGAAAAACTTCCTACCTGTCAGGGTGGTTAAACACTGGAATAAATTGCCTAGGGAGGTTGTGGAATCTCCAGCAATGGAGATATTTAAGAGCAGGTTGAACAGACACACCTCTTAGGGATGACCTAGACCAGGACTACTCAACTTTGGAAGCCCTGGGGGCCACAATGATACTCACAGCACATGCTGAGGCCCACAACTTAAGTGTTGTTGCATATACATACAAATAAATATGCAAATATATGCACATAGCTTCTTTCACACTGACGGGCATGAATACAAAGATTAAGGCAAAACTACACAACAGTCAGTTCTGCTGATATTAATAAAATGCAATATCTATGCAATACCCAATTTCTATCCATATGACAGCACTTAATGAGCAATGACAGTCCAGGAATTTAACTACTAAAATGTATATCAACAGAAGACAATTATATTGACTACTTTTTTGTTTTGGCTTCACAATTGTGAACGGAACATATCTTGTTGAATATGGTAACCTTCCAGTATCTTGGTTTTCCTTAAATTGCTGTCAGGTGGATACAATTCTTTGAACTCAGGGTGAGAAGATTCATGGTGCGGTTGCAAGTTTGTTTTCTTTAATGCAGCGATAGTGTTTTAACAAAGATGGCACATTGGTTTTCCATTTCTCTCTGCAAAAGTGAATTCCATCTCCCAAACAGGGTTATAAACCCTGCATTCATCCAACAAGTGTATCTTCTTTATTGCCACTTTTAATGCTTATTAAAAAGAAAACACCCAGTGTTTGGGGTGTTTAGCTTGAAGCTTCAGGTTGTGCATTTCTTTGAGTGATTTTACTGTAAAAAGAAACATTTCCAAGCCAGAGCACTCCAAACGGTGGCGGGCGGGGAGCTGGGCGAGTTAGCTTGGATAGGAGAGGCAAAAAAGGACAGGTGCCGGGGAGCCCTGTCCTGGATTCCCAGCAGGGCTGACATCCCCACCTGGGAGTCCATCGCTCCGTGCGGGATGGAGGCGGGGCTGCCTGGCCACAGCGCCTGGCCCAAATGTGGCCAGTGTGAGCCAGTCAGCACCGCTCAGGCTCTGCCCACAGGGCTAAGCAACCAGCACTTCTCACAATGCCTCGATGCTCCTGGCACCTTCTCCCTGGGGGCTAGAAACGGCAACATCCCGTATCGGTCTGTTCCAGCCAGCCCATTCGCTCGCATCTTTCAATGCTCACATGTTCCCAGTGGAGGCCATGTTCAAAGGTTCCCATCTGTAGGCTGTGCGTTGAGCCCCTGTATAAACCCAAACAGCACAGTGGGCTGCATGTTGAGTAGCCCTGATCTAGATGGTGCTTGGTCCCACTGGGAGGGCAGGGGGCTGGACTTGATGACCTTTCAGGGTCCCTTCCAGGCCTAGTGTTCTATGAGTCTAAGGAACTCAGATATGAAATTGCAGAACTATTAACTGTGGTATATAATCCACTGCATGAATCAGTCTCTGTACCAGATAACTAGGGATAGCTAATATAACTCTAATGTAAAAAAAGGCACCACAGTCATCCTGGCCATTAGAGGCCAGCAAACCTAACCTCAGTACCTGGCAAACTGGAAATCACAGCCAAGAACAGAATTTTAGACACAGAGATGAACACAACAAGCTGGGAAGAGTCAACATGGGAATGGATAATAAGATGAATCTTTCAAAATTGTCCTATTCTGTTCATTCCCTCTGGGGCACCTGACACTGGCCACTGCTGGCAGACAGGAGACTGGGCGAGATGGGCCTTTGGTCTGAGCCAATCTGGTTCCTCTTGTGTTCTTCTTTAACTCCTCTGGGGCTATGCTTTACCCATCTGTGAGAAAGGGTATTGGGAGGATTCAGCTTTGGGCTGAAATTAAGCACAAGAAAGCAAAGGGCATTTTTGGAAGTTATGTTCCTGGGTAATCTATAAACATTTGGCTAATTGCAGAGCACCCACCAACAGGGTATCTCTACATGGGAGGTGAGAATTGGAACATGGATTGTGTCCTGCAACCTTAATGACTGACACAGTGCCCTGACTAACTCCAGAACCCTCACCGGTCCCCTACCGACCCTGCAATCCCCTCACCCACTGACTGATTGCCCAGTGCAGTGCACTGACCTCCCCAGACAGAAGGCATGAAAGTCATGTCTCAGCAAACAAATCAGACATCTGTGGTGACTGGACGTGCTGCATCTGATGGCTGATCAGTAGAATTCCACTGCCCGGTGGCAGCAGGGTGCTGAACACTTTAGAGCCCTGGTACCGCAGCATGCTGGGTAGTCCATCACTCCCACAGTCATTTGGGTGGTATATCATCCATTCTGGCCTTTGAGCCAGCGACTGATGCTGGAGGACAGACTATCCCACATAGGACTAATTTTCCCCAGGACCGCCTGTCTCTGTTGCAGCAGCCAAATGTCCTCCAAGGGCCCTACGTGTGTTTTCTGTGAAGAACCAAGAGAGGAGCCCCTTGTTCCTGGCAGATCAAATCCATCCAACACATCGGGGAAGGACAGACTCATGCTGGGAGCTAGGCACATGGGGAAATGAAACCTGCTTGTCCCGAAGTCTGGCCAAAGGAGGCACGTCAGTAGGCCAGGTTTCTATCCCGCTGCAGAAGGGAAACAAGCTTCACTCTCCCCGTCAGCCAAGTGTTTCAGCTTGCACTTCTCTCTCTGAAGATTCACCTGGCATCGCTCGGGTCCTTTGCTCAATTCATTGGGGGTTTTGGAGAATCAGATGAAGACATCCCTGCTTCATATACATCAGCGCTCTGGGTGGGGCTGGGGAGGAGGGGATCAGGATGCAGCTGCCCTGGGGAGAGAGGACACCCCCAGCCCTCCCTCACCACAGCAGCGTGGGGCCAGATGAGAAGCGCCTCTCTATGGCTGCTGCAGCTCCAGCAGGCACAGCTGGTGAAGGGCAAGTGCAGTTTCCTGTCTCCTGCTTTCCCCAGCCACAGTGAACAATGCAGAAAACTTTGCACTTTCCCCTCACTCCCTGACGAAGGGGAGCAGACAGCAATGTCCTTATACAAATCAGAGGTGCACAGAGCTTCAGCCCCACGATCCTCCCTAAAGGGTGTTTGGGGGGGCCGAGGCAGTCATAAATGGGGGAGGGGTGCACGTCCCTGCTTCTTGGCACAACCAAACCCAGGCCTTGCTTTAAGTTAGAAGAGGAAGCTGCATAGCAAATTTGGTGGCCCTAGTTCTTACTATTTAGGAGTTCTTGGCCAGTCAGACAGACAAAGAGACACACAGACAAACTGCCGCGTAGATTTAAGTCAGTGGCTACATCTACACAGCAGCTGGAGGTGGAATTTCCAGCCCTAGTCCCGGTCCGAGTCCTTTGATCAAGCTAGCATGCTAAAAATAACAGCACTGTCGTAGGGGTGGCAGGAGGAGCCGCCCAGGTTCTCAGAAAGGATTGTGCTGGCCTGCGCCACAGCTCTTCCTAGCGCACAGCTAGAACCAGGCCCGTGCAGGCTCCTCTGCGTGTGCTGGCAATTACGCTTCCAGGCTGCCATATCCAGCACGACTCCAGCAGGGTCTACAGGAAAGCACAAGTGCCAATGTTTCGCTGAACGCCGAATGTGCTCCATGTTTAGCAGCCCAACTCCTGCTGTCCCTTGGACGAGCTCAGAAGACACCAGCTTTTTAGTTACTGGGGAAACTGAGGCACAGAGCAGGGATGAACTCAAGGTCACCCAGTAAGCCAGTGGCAGAACCAGGAATAGAAGCCAGGTCTCTTGAATGCTGGTCCAGCTCTCTATCCACTAGGCAATGTTGCTTTCTCCTTTCTCCTCTGAAACTACATGCAGTATCTAAAATGATCTATGCTCTTCTGAGGGCATTACAAATATCTGGCTCTAACTGGGGGTTCAGGCCTGGGGAGAATGACAAATGCACTGACTGGAGAAGCGGCTAAGCACGGAGCCTCAGCTGGGCAGGTTTGTTACTTGGGGTTTGCATAATCGGGTCACAATGTTTACGTGATTCCTG